TGTCTTTTTTTGCAAAATGGACCAATCTGAATTAAGACCATAGAAAGCAATAAAGATGTGAGGAAAAACTCCTTCCTTTTATATTCAAAATATCTATGGAAGAGAAATAAAATGCTCATCTTTTGTCACTACTATTATGAAAATGCTCTGTGATTTCTATATCTCTAATGTTTACTAAGGGTAAAACACAGATTTCTGCAAAAGATCTGATCCAAAACTTCAGTGAGTAGAAGGAATCCAATTTCTGCAAGTTTTGAGGTCTGATCCAAAGTTGCACAGCACACTGACAGGCCAGCAATCAGACTAGAGCCTCGTGGTGAACAGACATATCATTTTGCAGGGGATTTTGATGTTTCAAGATTGATCTTAGGCAGGTTTTGAAGGAAAAAAAAATCAACATTTACTATGAAGAGGACAGACTCTTCAGCTCCAGCTGCCAGGATTCACCTCCAGAATGCAGAAATTCAGGAAAGCGACTAAGCCAGGGTCTGGCAACTGCATGGGCCCAAAGTGATCCGCACAGTGTAGCTAGGACAGAGTCATAGGCCAGGCCTCCCTGCAGTTGCTCCCTGAGATTGATATACCTGGAAAGAGCAGCTCGAAAACCACTCAGACTGATAGTGTCTGCAGGCTGCTTACAGACTCCCAGGTTTCACCTCAAAATCCCCCATGGAGGTACGGATTCGGAAACAAAACACTTGGGAATAAGATTGAAACCTACTTCTGCAATCTTGCTCTGTCCCCGGAATCTTAAAATCCTGAATTACAGCCATTTCACTCAGAAAGGTGGGGAAATGGAGGCTTCTGTCAGAAAAATCTAGTAATTGTGTGTTCAGCTGCTGTAAAAGATCTTAAAAAATGTAAAAGAGGTATATTTAAATGCTGAGGGAAAAAAAAAAAACACAGAATCTGTTTTTAGCCTTATAAGATTCAGAAACTTGGTTTAGTCTTGACCAGAGGGACTAAAAGCAAGTTTAAAACTGTGAGGGCGAAGAGGGAGCTAGTTAGAGCCCAGACCACCATGCCATGCACACAGATGGTGCAGGGAGGGCAGCTGGAGACCAGGGTGCAAAGAAAGACACAGACGGTGCTGTCCCTGCCATATGCACAGATCTGACCTCAAAAATTCGCCCTGAAATGTGTGCATCCCGTCTCAGTCACGCACACTGTTGCCAGGCTCCCTCTCTGCCTTGGTCCGGGCTGCATGGTGATCTCCAGCCTCACCGAACGCATGGAGCAAACACAAAACGACGTGCAGCCTTCGAGCTAATGGGAAGCAAGTCGGTGCCTCTGACAGACCACAGGAGCTGTGTCCCTAATGGGCGATTTCTGCCCTGGTGCTGTGCAAGCGGGGACAGGGGGATGCAGCTGAGCCCCTCTGAGCTGAATCAGACACTGAGCTTTCCTGGAGACTTGTTTGTGTTTTTAACTCAAATGCCTCATTCTCTTTCTTCCTCTGGTCTGATAACAATAGTCACTTCTGGCCATTTAATTTGACTGTGTGCAACTGTTCCAGGCTGTCAGGAACCCCAAACAGCAAAAATCCAGAGGTTTGTACTATATTCCCAACTCTGCCTCAATGAAGAATGCCTCAATCTATACTTAAACTATACACCTACATACTCTATATGCTGTATATATGCTACATATATTACTATATATATCTTACTATACTTAAAGATAGGGTAAATTCTCTGTAAAGTAATACAGATTTGAGCAGAATATTTTTTTCCTGTCCATTTCAGATGTGCCTAATTAATGAAATATAATTAGTCACATTAAAACATTCAGATTAGCTGATTTTTGGCAAATTACAAAAATTATGCACAAAAGGCACTGCTAGCCTATAGTTTCTGCCAGGGCAGACAAGATAGGGAAATGTTCACAGCAGGAGAAACTGTGTGAATGCGCATGGGTCTCTCTTCCTCCACTACTGAGCTTTGGACAGCAATGTCCAACGCGACTGCAAAGGCACGGCAGGGAGTGCTCCAAAATGTGATTTGCAAAATGTCCCCTTCCATGTATTTTGTTTCAAGACTGCTATGGCAGAGGCTCTGCATGAGGAATTCCTCAATATACTCAAAAATCACTATTTCGTCCTGGTCTTTAAAATCTTTCAGACTCAATGTGTCTCTTTCTCCAGAGGCACCTTCCTTAGTCTCATCATATCAGTTGAAAATGGTCTGATTTCAGTTACTGCAGTTTTACAAGACTTCCTCCTATTGCCAGACAGGAAACTGCACGGTGGGGACACACAAGAGAAGTGCTAGAGGTCTCCCTCCTGTGTCTACTCATGGGAGATACCAGATTTTTATGCACTGCAGCTGCAGAATATTCTCTTCAGCTTCCACTGGAACTCGTCTTAGGTTTGCAGGTCACGTGGTTCAAGGATGTGTATAAGGAAACTAATCTTACATAGCTTTGGAGACCAAAGTAAAGAAAATGGCAAATAAATAAGCCTCTAAAACTAGCACTCTGCATTCTTCTTCTAAATAATCCATTCTCTTTGCTTAAAGGTTATTCTCAAAATTACTTTAAAAAAAGTTTAAAATGTTAAGAAAACAGTATCACATTTTACTATACATAGGAAAAATTTATCTTAGAGTAACCATTTGAGAGCATTTTACATTAAATCAGTAGGAAGACTCTATATTGCTTCATACACTGCAAGTTCTTGGTGACTTTTCAAAGTTCTGGCGGGGAAAACTACCAGGTCATTTGTAGGAATCACCCAATTAATCATTCTTTACAGAGGGACTTCTAGGATTTGATCTTGCCTTTTATAGGGTCTTGCTATTCCATCAGCAAAGTCGTTTCTTCCACCATTCATTTAAATCTAAATTAATCTAAAGGAGAGGGTGGAGGAAAACAATAGCAGGAGGAGAAAACAATAGCAACAAAATTCCCAAACACCAAACTTCAGAGAGTTAACATGATGTTATAGGTGCTTAAAAAAGGAGTGGTGGGTCTCAGAGAAGTAGGTTAATTATAGATATGATACTGGAGACAGTCAACAGACTAAATGGAATTAGCATTTCAACAAAACTAGCCATCAACAAACCAGGATGAAGGCACTGACTGTGAGACATGCAGAGTTGGGATGGCAAGTCTAGTACTAATGGAAGATTTAAGTACCCCTGTGTAGACTGATAATTGCTGGAGTGGCACATGATACAACCTTTTTAATATGATAAGTATTTTTCAGAGCAACTAGCTGGCAAATTCACAAGAGAAGTGACTCTTGGTTTAGCTCTGCGAGCTGTACAGGACCTGGCTTAGCATGTAACTACTAAAAAGCCTCTTAGTGCCCATAATATGCTCAACATAACATCTCTGTGGGAACAAGCATTCACTATGCTGGTAATCACATGGTAATATTTAACTCTTAGCAAAGGAGTTTTATGACCATAAAAAAGCAAGAGAAGAGAGAAAAAAAAAAAAAGCAAATACATAGTAAGGTGGTTTCAGGAAGCTTGAATGCAACATAAATACTCCTTATCCAGGCCTTGGAGTCAAGCTGTACCATTAGCTGAAAAAGACTCCAAAAGGATTTCCTCCTCTCTTTCATCTAATAGGTTAAGTAATGTTTTCCCTATTACTTTTCAGCTAAATATGACGGCTCTAGGACATTTCTGTCTGTCTGACCATATTCCAACCTGTGCATCATTCACTGCGGTTTAAATATTGATCCCTGGAACATACAAATCAGTGCTGATTCTTTCACATCATGAATTGTATTGACTACATATAGAAGGGCTCTCCTCGGGATCCCTCTGGCATCACCTAGAGAGATCTGCATATTGCTCAGAAATCCAGAGGTTTCCCCAGAGCCCAGAAAAGCCTGCTCCAAAGCCCTAGATCCAGACATGTCTCAGTCTGGGAGGATTAAGAATGAAAATCCAGACCAGTATTTTACCACTTGAGCCCATATCCTTCTGTTATTACAGGCCAGAAGGCCCTGCTGTCACCGCTTTCTCTTTGGCTGTTCATGCTCCTCCTCAACTCTCACACGGTCCCTGGCACTGCCCGCGCACACATACACACTAGGGTCTGTGACCACCAGGTAGCTGTGGGGTTGTGGGGCTGAAAATTCAATCAATTTTGCTAATAATTGCACTGATATCAAGGCAGAGTGTGATTTTTGCACTCCGGGTGGGGAAGATATGCAGAACCTCATCTATCATGTAAACCTGGAGCAGCACATCTGAAAAATAAATAAATAAATAAGCAAAAGCAGAGAGTAAGAGCGGTCAGTGCCCAGATCAGTGAGTAGAAAGTGGTTGATTCCCTGCTTGTGGAAAGTCCTTGAGCCCAACGCCTGTGCGTGTGGCCCCAGCACCCTCTGGAAGCTGTGCCTTTCCAGAAGGGCTCCCTTACCTCCGCTTATATTGGGTGTATGGCACCTTGGTAGCTTTGCAAAGGGAGCTGTCCGGGCCTGTTTGTGACTTTTCTTAGTGAAGACAATGTCAAAAGTCAGACAGCTACTGACAGGCAAATTACAACAGCTTAACCCTCAAAGTTTCATAGGGCTTTGCTACTATAGGAGAGGACGTTGATGCTTATATATGGCCATATTGCAATTCTGCACGCAATGGAAAGTAAAGCTGCTGAGTGGAATAGCCAGACTGCTGAGCTGTAACGTAGGAAGGGTTCGTAGGTATGTCCGACTCCAGATTTGCTAGCTTTGGGTGCAAGAATTGAATCTGCAAGGTGTATGGATGAGCCCACAGTTGCTCAGTCTCCCACTGGAGCCGGTTCTGCTGCTGGAAAGAGCATGTGGACAGTTGTCGTCAGAGTGGTACCAGAGGGGAGCGCAAAGGAACGACTCCAGCTTGCCTTTTTATTTTTTATCACTCAGCTGCACTAAAGCCTTATGCCTCTGGTAGCCAGTGCTGGAGCAGTGAGAAGCTGTTTTTGCTGCTGTGCTCTTACAGGAGAAGCTTGGCTGCATTAACTCTTAAAAAAAACAAGCACCTAGACAACTAGAGCAAAATCCAGTGATGGACGTTGCCTTCACAGAAGCCAGCAGCAGCTCCCATGGAGGCACCGACTGGCGGGATTTTACCCTTGTCACCTGCACAGAAACGGTGACTTTCACTGAAGTGGTGGAGGAAGAGGAGTGGGGATCCTTTTATTATTCCTTTAAGGTATGGACAGCATGCATTACTTTGCTCACATGCCTGCAGCTTTGGTGTATTTTCAGCATCCCCTGCAAGGAGGCAGCTCGTATTATAGAACTTTTTCGCCTGAATGTTTGTGTCTTTATATCTCTGTAAAGACAGCTGACAACATGTGGGAATCATTTACTGGGGAAAAAAAAAACAAATCACTGTAGGATTTGGACTTCAAACTCACAGGTCTTGGCCAACTGTATCTACTTCTAATCGGGGATGGTATTGGTATTGTTTTTCTAAAGAGGTATTGTAGCTATGCATTCATCTTACTTTAATCAAAGGCTTTTATTAGCTTAATGCATCATTTATGTAATTTGTAATAGGCATCATCTTGATGTAAGGGATTTATTTTTCAATTTTTCAGCTACAACATACACTATACACAAGTGAGAGTTATTTTTATTTCTTTAAATTAGGGAGGGCAGGTTCTAATTAGTTGGTTTGTTTGCTTTTAACTTCGGGGTGGGGGGGAGTGTCAGTGTCTCATGAAAGCTGCTTTTAAGAGTGTATCAGATGTATCATGCAGTGGTAAGTGCTGCTGAATGACGCAAGAAGTGTATTCACTCTTCTCCCAAAATAAACTTCCTACTTACAGTATATGGATGTAGGGAGAGGATGGAAGGGATACAGAATTACATTTTGCACAGATTTCTGTGCCTGTTGTTATTGTTTCATTGCAACCTGTGTGCCATGTGTCTCTTTGCTGTTGTGGCACATTGTATAAGTTAAGTTCAAGTTATTAAAATGTCTATCAAGAAGTACCCTGCTATTCTTTCTGGACTTCATGGCTGAACAGATTTGTTTCAGACAGAAAAACACAGACGTTCAGATTATTTGACAATGTTGAATATAAAGGAATATGTTTCAGAGGCAAGGTTTGATTTCGAAGAGATTTTTACTAGTCTGATGTAGTGGAATCAATGGAATTATAACAGGTTTCCACCCTGTTAAGAAAAAAAAAAAAAAGATCTGTAGTGCTACAATTAACTAATGAGGATTTCTCAACATGATGCTGGCATTTTTTTTTTTTAATCTTGACAAGACAGCACTTTTTTATCCGGGATTTTAAGAACGAAAACTGCATCTGTTCATGTGTGTGTTAAACTCCTAAAATGCTCTTGAAAAAGGCAGAAGTGGGCAAAACAATTTTAACAACTTTATCTCCTTTCTTTTCTCCACCACTCAGAGCTGTGAATTTGAACAATGTCATGGGAGCAGTATTTTGCAGTGGCAAAAGTGACAATTACTTCCATGATTAGAAACAACCGCAGGCAGAAAAATGCTCTGCAAAAGGGGAGATATAAAGTAAATTACACTAATTAGGATACCACGGATAGTCACGCATGCTTGTCCGTTGCCAAAGGAAACTCATTCTGTTAGCAGAGAACTTCTTGTGAGACTCCCTCTGTGCTGCCTCCTCCACCGGGGCTGCCCGCACGGTGGGTTGTGTCCTGGCCGCATCTCCAGCCACACAAAACTGCCTCTTCACAGCAGCGACGCTCTGGTTGAGGAGCTAGAGCAATGAAGGGTCAGTGGATCCAAAAGCAGTCAGAGGTCAGGGTGTAGGTGTAAATGGGGCTTTGGCCAGCTCTCAGGGTTTTCGGTGCAATGGGTCCCCAACACGTTACACTCGCCACATGCTCTTCCAGTATGGAGCACAGGCATCCATGGATTCCTATCTGGGAAATGCAAAGGGACTCATGGCAAAGAGCATGGAGGGGAAAGAATGGTTCCTCTTCCTTTAACTTTTTTTTTCCTTTTCTCTCCTGCTTTAGTTGGAAAAAGGAAGGAAAAAAAAAAAAGGCGCTAGCTTGATCCATTTCATGGCTCTCAGGAATTCCAAACCACCTTTGACTTCCAGATTTTTCTCACCAGCTTTTGGCTATTCTGAGGCTTTCCCTCTGATCTGATAAAGGCATTCAGTTTTGACTAGAGTAATGTAAGACACTCTGGGCCAGTGAAAGAAAGTATAAAAGAATTGTGACTTTTAATCCCTGCACTGGGGGAGCTGGGTTGGAGTGAGCTTCATGCAGCAAAACCGCCACGGAGGGAAGCGTGACAGCCAAGAGTAAGGCACTAACTCCAGGTCGTGGATGGGTTTTGAGTCCTATCCCTCAAAGCATTTCCCTACTGACTACATTAGGTGGGTGCCTTTGGCCATGAGATCTCCCCAGAGGCTCATCAAGGGGGACAAAGTACCCACTGCCAGGTAGTGTCTGGGTCATGCTGTGGTGATACGTGACTCAGAGCATTTCAGTGGCAAAAAGTCCTGCTTGGGGTTAAATTCTGAATGCCTTCCTGCTCCCCTTTCAGAAGTATTTGAATTTCTGTCCATTCTTCTTCAGAGCTTAACAACTAAGACCTCCTCCACTTGAAATTAAACAGAATTTTGTTGCCAGTTCAGTTAGTTAGACTTTTTCTCCCTCCATTTTGGCTGATAGAATGAGCATTTCTTCCACTTGGAGCAATGTGTGTTTTCTCGCCAGTGTTCATTACTGTATCTGCTTGGCCAGGGACTAGTGTTGCTTGTGGAGCTGTGGCCCTTCACTATACCAAGGTAGACCTCGGGTCCAGAGCTCCAAGTCACAGTTTTGGGGCAAGTATGACTGCAACCACATGCCATGCAGTGTGCAAAATCAGCTAGTGCCTCCCAAAGGGGACAAGAGAGTGACTCATCCTGACCTATGTTTAAGTCTTGCTGTTGCGTTGTGGTCAAGTTTTCATGGACAGCTGAGTTGTGTCTTCTCAGGTTCTTTTGTGTAATGTATGCTGTTAGATTTCTTAAACCACAAGCACTAAAAGGGGTGCTGGCTGTGTCCACACCAAATTCATAACACATGTGCAAATTGGTATTAATTACAGCTCCTACATTCCATTCCAGTCTGAAGGAGAGCTCATTACATCCTTTTTCCAAACTCCCCCATATGTATTTAATCTATATAAAAGTGGGTGTTAACTGCCCTCTTCTAAATAGAGAGATCAAAGAGAACTGAGACTATCTAAACATCTGTGTTTACCTCTGACACTAGGTGGAGAGACACTGATATCTCAGGGTAGGTTCAAGACACGGTGGGGAGGAAGGCTTCCCTACTCTCTCTCCTCTCGGAAGCCAGCAGGGGCTGGGAGTCCTCATCAAGGCTGCTGGGAGCTGCTTTCCATGTCAGGAGATCCAACAGCCCCGAGCCTTCCCTGAGGACAGATGCATGTGCTCATTTCTTAGACAGAAATGAGTAGGGCTCATCTCTTTTATAAGAGGCCTGTTGGGAAGCAGGATGCCAGGGAAGTTGCCCCGTGTCCCTGGAAGAGAATAAACATTGAAGCACTCCCAGCATCTCTCCATGGATTGGTATTGCCACCAGCATCTCCTGCCTCCCAGGAGACTGTGCTAGCTTTCACAAGCCAGTGGATTTTCTTATTTTGTTTTCTGCTGCCTAGATCTGAATCCTCACCAGTGCAGTGAGACATCATGGCTTTGGTGCTTACACCCAAAGTTGTTTGGGAACTCAGACCCCTGTGGGCCATGTAGGACCTCAGCCAGCAGGCTGAATATTGACATTGCCTAGCCTAGTGAGTCCTCGTTTCTGAGCAGCATTGCCCCAGCAGCAACACTATATTAGAAATAGTGTGTGTGTTGAACACGCCACAAATTATCTTATATGAATAATCTAAATTCCCTGTTTTTTTCAGAAAGGACTACTCTCTCTGCCTGTGCCTGTCCTCCTCCCCATCACAGCATTCCCAATACCAAAGAGATTTGGCCCAAATGGCCGTGATATTAAACAGAACTGCATAGCCCTGAGCTTCTGATCCAAGGGGCTCAATGTTCCTCACAAAGGCCAGGAACTACCACCCACAGCAAGCAGCTGAGGAGACTGAAGTGTAGGCTTATGTTAACTCGTTCTGCAGAGCAATCACCTAACAAGGGTTTGACTGCAGCGACCCAATTTAAGACAAAATCTGCTGGCCCTATCATTTCATCCAACTTTGTTACTGTCTAATGGGGAGAGAGGGAGAGAATTAAGTCTATGTAAATATAGTACTGAGCACTCCTGAATGCAGGTATTGTAATATGCCATAATGACTCCTGCCATTCCTGAGATGCTGCAACACAATACCTGATCACCTCATAAAACAATCCTGGAGTGCTCTTGGCCAGGCTGGCCTCATCCATTAACTTAAATGCAATGTAGAAGCGACCTAGCTATATGACTGCTTGACTTGGTGTCACTCTGAGCAGCGCTTTTATACCAGCACCCCTCATATGTCTGATTCATTGGTCCACAGAACCCATGGGGTTTGAGTCTGCCTCTCTTATTTACACATGACTATAAAATACAGACTTCTCTAGTCTGTGAGATGTTTTCATTTTGCAGAATTGTCATACCTACAATTATCTTTTTCTTTATGATTGAGAAGGAAGAATATTTCACAGTTCTAATTGGGCTATCAAAATTGTACAATTATGGATGGGCTGCTGAGTGACCTTGTATTGTGTCCTCACATTGTAAATGTGCTAGGAAAAAATAGATATGTAAACCATGAAAACACTCCTGATGACATTAAAATGAGAGAAATCTATTTCTCCTTCTCTCTTAGGGTACAATGGGTAAAAAAAAAGTGCAATAGCAGAATAATAGAGTCTTTATTTATTATCCGTCTTGTACCAAAATAGAGCAGAATAGCAATGTGAACTATGTCCTAGGAAAACTGGATTGTTACTCTTTGTTATTGACTGAAAATTTGAAAGGATATCACAGCAATTCACAAGCATTAAATGCTGCACAATTAAATTTCTATCTCATGCCTAATGGTGAAATTAGAGGTAAGAAATATATCTGTATATATTTAACTGGGGATCCCCTAAAAATGGTCAATACAGTTCTGTTTGTTAGATTTCAAAAAGAAATGAGAGTAATATCAGTAATAAAGAGATTTCTTGTGAGAAATGATTTAATGAATATGCCTCCTTGCAC